GAAGTGCACTGGAAAAGCTGAGAGAAAGTACTCAAGGAGGGTGCAACTCAATCAGCCACCAGGAAACAGGGGAGCAAAAGTGGGAAAGCTCAAACAGTCTTACCAAACCAGGCTTGCTGCTCTCCCTGGACTTCTATAGCCAGTCCGAAGTCAGCCAGTTTGACAGCAGCACCCTTACATTTACTTGCCAGTAGTAAATTCTCAGGCTGGGGAGAAGAATAGAAAAAGGGGTAAGAATGAAAGACTGACATCCTTGTTAAAATCTCTTACCTAGTATTCACATCATTAAATTCCATCTGCTGACTGAATCTAGCATGCAGTACTAAATCTGTAAGGTGGAGACACAGCAACAGCAACGGACAGCCTTGACCTAGAGGAGCAGAAAATACTCAAGCCTAACACACATCCTCTGTGGGAGTCAGAGCCTCTCCCAGCCCAGCCCATACATTACATGCTGACACCAGAGGGCACTGGCAGTACAGTTCCTGCAGCACATAAGCCAAAATCTGTCTCTGACATCCCTGAAGAGAGTAACTGTGGGGGGAGGAAGGGGGGGATGATGCAGTAGATACAATCTGCAGTGATGTTTTTCCCTATGAACATTAGACAGTCCCCAAGGCACTGGAAAAGTAAATATGATGCTAATAAGGGCTGCCAAATACAGTGCCGTAATGTGGGAAGGCATCATCTAGATAGGCAGTAGTTTTCATCCCTTACAGAAAAAGCCTCAGCCTCAAATTGGCATAAGCAGCACAGCAGTGAGTATTCTTGTAAGCGTTTTTTTCGAACTACACATTTACAGCAGTGTAAAATATTCTGTCTTGCTACTGCTGCCATCGCCTATACAAGAAGCAGCCATGTCACTTCCCCCATGTGCTAGCAAAGGGAGAGTCTTTTGCCCCTCCTATTTCCACCTTCCGTGAATCTCACTTGAACCATAATTCTGTTGTGTTCTGGCAGAGGACTTCAGCAGAAGGCTTAACACAACTCCAGGAACTGGACTGAGGGTTGACAGCTTCCTTTGAAGCACCAGAGCAGCTAGTTACATGAGACTTCTTGTAACCCCAAAGCCTTAAAAGGCAGTGGCTGTTAAGGCACTGCATGAAAATCAACTTGTACATAGGCAGGACAAATGTGATCTCTCATCCCATCCCCTTCTGATCACTTGTGCAATTCTTATCAAGTTGATTTCTTAACTGAGCAAGATGGAAGCCTAGAAATCCAGAAACAGGATCTTGTCTCAGTTTCACAAATCTGATGAAGGTCTTTTTTGCAGCCTGCTTACTAGTTTCATCCCATGGCAACCCTATATCCCTGTTCTGCCTGACAGGCACAAGATGCTTAAAGTACTGGGCATGTGCCTACTTCTGCTCTGAATGAAGAGAGAACAGCCCTCCCTATCACAGTCCTTGCCATAAGCTGCATGGAAGGAGAGGGAACTGGGTCTCAATACATTTGGATGCCACTGGCTCTTAACTATATGGGAGGAGGAAAAGATCGTCTTAATCAAGCTCCACTAATGAAAAATCACCAGTGTAAACAAGACCCTAAAGCAGAAAACCAATGAAATCTTCTGAACGTCCTTCCCAACTCCAGATCACACCTGGGTTTAGCCTTACAAAGAAACAGTGACATTTAAGCCAGACTTGTGCTAGCTAAGCACTATTTGTTGCTCTATTTTAGAAGCAAACACCTTAAAGGCTAATGGTACTTATCCATGTCCATGTTTGCCAACATATGGGCTGTCTCAGGTTTCACATACTTTTTGGTGAGGATGTGAATGCACCCCCTAATTTCTTACAGTCCCAATGGGCAGCTCAACATTTGACATTCTTTAATAGCACGTCAGCCAAAAGACAGGCTCATGAGAGGGAGGTGCAAAAGACAAAACTACTTGAAGAAAGCTCTGCAGTTATTATACGCTGATCCTGAAGGCCAAGCTTTTGTCAAGGAGCTAAATATGAAATGAAAAGCACAATATCTTTCATTGTTAAAAGGAATAGTTGCACCTCAGGCCTGGATAGTTTCAGTCACTCAGTTCAAACAACAGAATAAACATATTAACTACTATGGGGAGTGTCTAGCAGCTCCTAAATTCTAAACGAGTTGCTAACTTCCATACAAACAAAACTTTGGGAGGAAAACCAGATTATATCTGAACATAGAGTGTGAAGGGAAACTTTAACCAACTGGAAAACACCACTGATTTTCATAGATGCCCTAATTCTGGGCAGCAGTGCTTCTTGGATGTTGTTCTCTTAAGAGCCAGCGACTGGTCTAATCGAGAGCAGTCATTCTGCAATACATCATTTGCATCTTTTCACAGTGCTTTCAGAAGGCCAAAACTGTGGCATGGGACTTTGCCAGAAGCACTAAGGGTTGTCCACTAGATCAAAACACATGGGGAACACTGCCACCAAGACTGCAGCAGGCTTTTACCTTGCCCTTTGCAAAATAGTTTTCTATTTTCCCCCTTATGCACTGTATAACAAACCAAAACCAACACTAGTAGCACGTGTCATCCTGCATTAATTTAACTGGACCACTGGTGACCATCACCATTCCCACTTTAAACAGAGAGGGCTCCAGGGCAAGTAAACTTTCCAGCACAGATCTCTTCAATCTGGAGCTCCCAGTACAGCTGGCACTGTGTGGGAAGGGAGTTTAGGTAACTACACAGTGGGGGCTCTGGGTCCATAAATGTGTTATAATGTGGCAAATGGTTGATCCATCCAGTGTTTAACTGGCCAGCAGTTTCGGGTTTGGATTAAAAGTGTTTCTACTGATGAGAGTAGAAAGAAATGACACAAAAAATTCTTGTTGTGCTTCTCTGCCCCAGCACAATGGCATGTGTTTGGCAACAGTGCAGAATAAAAATATACATGCTCTGTGCAGACAAACTCATCCTGGCAGATTGAACAGAGATTGCTCCAGGTCTCTAGAGATCTCTTCAATCGCAAACTAGAAAGTGTCCTTCATTATAATAAATCCTACCCAACTTTATCTGAAAGCCTACTGCACTCCAAGATTCACAAGTACTCCATCCTGGAGCTGCCTCAGAGAGGCTGAGAGCTGGCAAGGTTCACAAAGACTGAAAACTTCCTTGGGAGTTCAGCACACCATCTAGAAAACTCTGAAGAAGAAAATTTGTGCTTCAGGAATCTCTGAGCCTAGTTCAAATGAAAAAAACAAACCCTGCCAGCTGGCAACACAGTATTCCTGTCTTTCCTCTTCCAGTGATTCCCTGGCTGCTCTCTTCAGACTCTACGGCACAGAGGAAACATTACCTTCAAGTCCCTGTGCACGATATCATGCTGGTGAATGTGATTCACACTCTCCAGTATCTGATGAATACAGTGGCTGCAAGATAAAAGGGAGAGACACACAGAGTTATGCACACACATTTGACATCTCATCTCATCCCAAAACTATTTCCCTAACTTTTATATTTGTACTTGGGGGAGTTCAAGACCCCAGGCTGAATCCCTTCATCATGACCACTGGATGCCACAGCTCAGTATCGTCACAGCTGAACATCCCCAGCCCCTCCAGCAACAAGAGGCCAAACATCCTTTCTATAGCAGGACCACAAAGCCTCTCTCCTACCTCCCATCACCTCCTTCCTTTCCTTCCCATCACAGTAAGCCTCTCCCTTGCTCCTTCAGCCAGCAGTGCCCACCCCACAGAGAACAACCAAGGCATCTGAGTATCTGCAAACAGCAGCTGAGATTGTGCAAGCAAGACTAAATCACTCCAGGAAACATTCCATTGGGCTAGTCCTGAGCAAAGAATAAACTTTGAGCAAGCAGCAGCCTCCCCCAGCAAATTCAGGATGACGACGCCTGGGCACCTGCCAGTTTGCAAAGCTTTCAGAGCAGCATCTCAAGCACTTTATATACACAATGCGCACACACACCCGCCTGTGGGTGCCTTTTAAGTACAGATCCCACTTAAGGGGTTAGCAATCAGAAAAGCAGACTCATTCCATTAAGTGCAGTATGCTGCACTCCCCCAGTTCACAGAAAACCTTGTCTCCACCATTCTCACTCTGTAAACCACAGGGGCAAAAGCAAGATGTTATTTACACCTGTCACCTAAGGACAGCACAACACACACCCATGGGTGAGAATGCTGGTTGAAACCATCTCTTCCACTAAACATTTATTCATCTCCCAAGGGTGAATGTGGAATGGAGCAGGTATTTTGATAACTGTGGGTGAGCAGTAAGCATGCAGTAGGCAACTCAGAGAGATCTGGGTCCTCACTGCAGGACCTGTCAGTCCCCTCAGCAACTTCTACTATCTCAGGGGAACAAATTTGAAATACGTGAAATATTTGAGGGAAGGGAAAAAGGCTACTGGAAAGATGGAAAAAGGGTGAGGGGAAGAAGAGGAGAGGAGGTGCAGCACTGTGTATTTGCTACCCGCACCCCTCCGGGGTGAGGGGAAGAAGAGGAGAGGAGGTTTTGTGTATTTGCTACCCGCACCCCTCCAGAACCAGCAGTATGATCCTCAGGGTTGGAATCCATGAAAATCTCCCCGCTCCCAAAACAAAAATGTATAATTAGAACAGAGCTGAGTCTGAGCGAGAGAGATTTTCTGGCCAAAAATGGCAAAAGTGTGAGGTGTCCCAGGCAAGCCAAGCACGGCGGATTGGCACGGACCTTGCTCCCTCGCTCTCCCAGCCTGCTCTGGAATTCAGCTCGGCATGGGGAGAGAAAGGGAGGAGTTTCTCTCTGTCATCTTGTGGGCACTTCGAGACCTGGCCAGCTGACAGGGCTGAGCACCCCGAGGGGGGCTCACAGAGCAACAGACAGTTCTCCTTTTCCCCTAACCCTGCCATAATTTTCCTGAGTAGTGTCAGTCACTGACAGCTCTTGACCATTTCAGGGAACAGGCACTGGCAAGAGGGACAGGGGAAGGATTATGATTGATAACCTCAAAACTTCCCAACTTCAGGGCACAGCGGCATGACTGACAGTGTATCCATCCAAGGTGCTGTGCCTACAAGATCAGTACACCCCACTGAAAATATCTACAGGGCTCTCAGACCTCTCTGCCAGGAGCTCCATCAGAGCTGACGAGTTCACTGGCCTTCTCAATCACCAGGTGACTCACGGCAGAGCACACAGTCAATGCCTCATTTGAAAACCTGCAATGCCCAAAGACAGAGGCTGTAAGTGTACCACAGGGAAAGCAAATAAACACCTGTAGACTCCATCAACAGTACCTACAACTAACACACCAGGTCACACTCCTTCCTTCCTTGCACTCAGTATCATCTCCCCACAGCACTGCCTACCACGCTCAACCTGCCACAGCACCCACTACTTCCATCTTACCCCTCTCTTCTCATGGCTCCCCTAATTCTGGCTCCAGCAAGGGTTAGTATGGGACAAGAACACGACTGCAGAATAAGCAGGGGGAAATGTCACCATTGGGCCACTCCCAGGCCATGCTAAAGCAAAACAGGAGTGGCCTAATCCCAGCTTTGATTCCAGATGCTGCGTGTCCAGCAGATGGACGAGTCAGAGAACACCCTCAGCTACTGCTGCACGAAACCCCCACCCTGCCAAAACAGGGACAAGCACAGGCCACTTCAGGAAGCTCACACATGGGAGAGAAGGGACACGTTCTGGAAAAGAAGGACATAACTCTAAACCTTTCTAACATTAAAATGTAAAGGTTGCTCTCACATATTGTGCCTTTTTTCACTGCACCAAACAGCTGACAGTCAGAGAGAACACAGCCTTCAGAGGCCCCTGTCCCCACTGCCTTGTAAACCACTACCTAAACACAGGCAAATTGAATGTGCCTGCCCAATAGCAAAGCACTGGAAGCACTGCTAGGAGCAGGCAGCAGCAAGGCAGGCAGCACTCTCACAGCCACAGGACAGCTCTTTCCTACATCTGCTCACTAAGGACACACTGTCACCACCCACCAAAAAGGTCAGGCAAACAAAGCTGCTAGCAATGGGTCTTCCAGCAAAGAGCACACAATCTGCAAGAGGCAAAGACAGCAATGTCTGTAAGCAGCAAGGGCTAGAGCTGCAGTGAGTCAGGCTGACTGGTGACAGTAAGTTTATGCTAATAGTAGAATAGGAATCATTTTTTTCCAGACGAGAAGCAAGAGTGTCAGAACAAAGTCATGCACAGATCGGCACTCAGGAAACTCATTCCACTTGTACATGCACCTACAGGTATGGACCATGTATGTACATGGCACATACACGGAAGGGTCTGGAAACAGTCTTACCTGGCATCTGCTTCACTGTAGTATTCTCTAGCAACAATATCCTCAAAAAGCTCCCCACCAGTAACCCTGGAATGCAAAACAACAAGGGAGGTTACAGAGCCCATGCACGTGTAGCTCAAGGGTGCACAGGATGTATGTGACCACCCATCAGGGCCCTTTGCCCCACAGCCTGTGTGGGAAACTGTCATAGGAGAGCCAGGGCAGAGCTCCACCACCATGGCACCAGCACTGCAACTGACCCCTTGGACTGCCATTTCACCAGCAGTATAGAGGGCACTCTTGACACACTGGGCACAAATTGCCCATGCACCTCTACAGAGCTTAGTATATGCTAAGCTTGGGTAGAACACCCCTCCTCTGATCCCTGTCAGGCTGCCTCACAGACAAAAGTCAAACAGCATCCATATACAGGATAGGCATTCTTTCCCATCCCATGCTTACACCTGGTGCCAGGAGCCTTCCTGACCTGTCCCCACCACATAGTCAATGGATTTTTGTCAAATAGGCCAGAGATCTCCTAAGAGAAAGGAGAATGACACTAATGGAGGTGCTTTTTATTCCAGTCTTAGTCAACCATCCATGTGCCTGCATCACTGGTGAAGCAACAAAGACAGACACTTACAGATCAAAGACGAGGTAATGGAAACCTTCTTCTGAAATACTGTCATGGAGTCGCACTGCAAAAATACAACCAAGAAATGGAGATTTACAGAGTATGTAGCAACTATGACACTTCACAAATCAAACTCATGCACATGGCGAAGTTCTCCCTCAAACCAATCAGTCTATTAATTCCCCACGCCCTTCGCTTTGTGCGCTCCCTTAGCAACCTATTTCCTTCCACTATCTCAAAGGAACAGATTGGTGTCCTTCCCAAGCATCATCCCTCCCCAGCATCAAAACAAACTCTTAACTATCTTTGACCTCCTGTTCATACTCCTTCTCTAATGCTTCAAGTACGCTCCTTTCAGAACTGCCAATGTTTTCCTCCATGCTCACGTTCTGCCATCTCTTCCCATCCACTCTTATTCCCCAAAACAAACCCTTTTCAGTCTCAAAACAAGCCCCTAATCCATAAACCGACTACCTGCATGTCAGTACCACTGGTGCCTTTTCTGCCTTTCGTCTGTAAGGCTCCGTGCGGTTCCCTTCTGTTACTTATTTTTCCTCACTCCATTCTGACTTACACCCCAAATCCTTACCCAAAATTTAGAACCAGCTTCTTGTCTCATTTTTTCTCATCTGTTTGTTACCAAAGATAGATCTCATCAAATTCTCCTTCTCAAAATTTCATTCACCTTCAGCTTCCTTGCCTATCCCTCCGAAATTCTGCTCCTATTGCCTAAATTAACTTTTATCTCTTTGCTTTCCTTGTCCCCTTTAACCATCATGGGATGGGCTACCATGCCCTGATATTCTGGCATTGCTGGGCTTCTGTCCTCCTTTCCCCATGTTACATGTGGCCAATAACTATTGTGTCTATGCATCCAACATGGTGCCATTTCCTCCTCTCTGAATCTCAATTTCTTTGATGTTTCCTGGATACCTAGGTGCTAACTCTAACCCAAGAGGACAAACTTCATTTCATATTGCTACCTAACCCCTACCTTTTGCTTTTCTCCTCTGCTGCAAAACTTCAGTCTTATCCCTGTCAATCAGAGTCACAAGCTGGCAACCCTCTTTGACTCAATTCTTAAATCTTCACACCCTGACGAGAACAAGATGTCTTCTTCACATGACCATCTACAGTCTTTCTCTATTGATTCACTCAACTAAAGCAACTAGTTGAGACAAGACTGGGTCTCAGTCACTGTAACACCTTGTAATTGAGTATTGACCAAAGTAACATTTACCATTCTCATCCTTACAAGAAAAAAATCTCATTACCCTGCCCTGACACTTTAACAGCACCTTTGCCTCTCTTCCCTGACTTTCATTCTCTTCCACATACAATACAGGTGTCTTGCCCTGATTTTTCCAGCATGATGATTTTTTTCCTGCCAGTATCAAGAGGTCAGTTTGCACCTCTTACTGCATATGACATCAGCTGTCTTCACTGTCTTGGGAATGTTTCACACTGGCCCTTGGCACACGACCCTACCTCATATGGAACAGCTTTTGCACATGTTGCCAATGCTCTTCTGTACTCCTCCATGCAACTCTCTTTTGCTAAAGTCCCCTTCCACAGGCATGCAAACACACACAAACTCAAAACTGAGAGTAGCACAGGTGTTGCAGAGACCATTGCCAGTAACTTTCCTAAAAGAATTTCATTCTTTTCTTTTTTTTTTTTTTTTGCCTGTTGATTCCTATGTTTTTCCTCCCTTTATCTACAAGCTCTCTGAGCTGGTCCCTTGACCAGTTTCCTTTCCTTGGCATTTCTACTGCATCTAACTGCAGGGGTTTGGGAGGAGCACTCTACTGGGCATAATGCTGCAAACAAGCAAGTACAGTTACAGTACCAGTGCAGCAGGTGTTTCAGGTGCACCATGCTGTTCCCACTGCACAAAAACAGCCACACATCACCTTTAAGAATTGTGTTCCTCAAATAATTCTTTTCAAACAAAACATTCTTCCAAGGAAGCAGTTTCAGTTGGCTTGGTAATAACTTTATTGCAATACAACTTTGTGTTTACAAGAAAACTTGCCTCCTGAGCACTTGGCAGAAACCAGCAGAGGCAGCATTACAAAAACACAAGTGAGAAGAGAGGTTTCCCAGGAGAAAAGATTTCCAGTCAAGACTGGAAACAAGATGGGAAGTGGCTGAAACAGACACTTGGATTCCCAGTGCAGGGCAGTTCTCACTCCAGTGCACAAGACTATTTGAAGTGAAAGCAGAAGACAAGCACATCAACAAGAGCTGAGGCCCAAAATGCCCACAAAAGTCTGTGAAGAGACACCTTATAAACAGATGGAGAAACTTCAAGGAAAGCTGAATGTGCTAATAACGTCGTGTCTGGTGACGCTCGGTGGGCATGAAAAAGCATTCTCCTTCCTCTGGCACCTGAAAGGTCACCGAAGCGCTGCAAGAAACACCAAGCAGAGAGGAGAGTGGCATGAATGAAATTGTGACAGAGGAGGGAGCACAGCCATCAGCAGGCTGAGAACAGTGGCCTTGAAAAGGGAACAGCAAACATGTCTGCAGGTAAAGTGAGAAACAGTGAACTATAAACTTTGACACAAAAATGCAGGCAGAAAATTACATCAGAAAATAAAACACAAGTGAGCTGATTGGTGCTATTTCTTTGTCCCAAGAAAGTAATTTTGTCAGCTACATCATGAAAAAGGAAGGAAGTAGCAATTCAGCTGGCAGAGACTGGCAGAGGCAGCAAAAAGAGCCTTCAAGGACAGTAAAACACTACTGCGTCCTTAGGTGAGGAACCATGACAGGAGGACAGAGACAGTTCATAAATACTGATGCTGTACATCACCCTAGGGCTGTGCAGCAAAAAAAGGCCTTGGAGACAGGACGCAGGTCATTAACTTAACAAGGGAACTGCCTCCTCATGACAGCCCAGAGCCATGCGGGAACAAAATCTGCCCAGGATTTAATCTGCTGAGGTTACAAAGCTCAGGGAGTAACCACAGAACAGCAGAATCTAGAAAAGCTACAGGAAAACCAACAGTGGGCCCCACCACCTTGCACAGAAAGAATGAGTGACAGGACAAAATATTAGGCTTTAAGTGCGGAGAGCGGCAGCAAAGAAAGGAGACAAAAAGGATTAAGACAAGTCTGAATATACCAAAATTCTTGTGGCTTTCAATTCCAGCCCTCACCTACTTCATACAGATGCTGATGTGAAAAAACAAAAGCAATACCCACTAGCAGAACAGAAAGGGTACCCAGTGCCCTTTCATCCTAAAGTTTTGCTTACCTATTCTCCTGCAGAGCCACAAGGGCCTTCCTGGAGGGAGACTGCAATGGACAGCTCTAATGCCATGGTTCACTCTGCTGACACACAAAGTTAAAATGCCCTGCTTTCCAATACAGTGCTACCAGGGGCTATCAGCTTAAAAAGATCATAATCTGCCTTTTCCAAAACTATTCAGCCAGTCCACTAAATGGCATATATTCAGAAATAACTGAAGGATAAAAAACATTTTAAAAGTTTCTGTGCCTCCTCTCCACTTTGGTGGACAAACATGATCCATATTGTGTGAGTATTCATCACAAAGATACACAAATATCAGAAAGCATCTGATACCTCCACCTTCCAGACAGTATAGAGCCCTCTCTGCTGAAAGATATCCTGTGCAGGTGTCCTCCACCTGAAGGCAGGACACAGGTTCCTGAATGGCCACTTTCAAGAGTAGAACCCAAATACTGAGCTGTCTTCTCTTTCAAACACTTCCCCATGAAGAGAGGATCCCATTTGTTCCACAGGCTGCTGGTCCTGACACACTGTCTAACAGTTCCATTACTACCACAAGATCAGCTTCAACCAAGCAGTTGAGCAGAACCCACAAAGCTGCTCATATCTGTGTAACCTGTTAGCACGAGAGGGTGAAAAATAAAATCGTATGTAGATACTGGAGGGCAAAGCACTCCCAAAACCTGATTATCCATGTTAAGAAAAATGGAGAAATAAAAAGTATTCATCCAGTTAACCTTTTCTTCAAAAATATTAAAGCACTGGGTTTTTTACCTCTCTCAGGGGAGCAGTGATGCCTATGTCTAGCACAGCAGGCTAGACAAACACACACATCACAGGAAGAGTCTCAAGGTACAGCAACAGGGAAGTTGCACAACAGCAACACAGTGTCTTCAAAAACACAACCGAGCTACAAAAGACACCAGCACCTACCAAGGAACCTCATATCACTCTATTCACCAGAAGATGAGGTAGATTATTTCTATTAGCCGATTCTGTTGCCCAGAAGCAGCAATTCAAACTGTATTTCCTTTCTAGCTGAACACTCTTAACACAGGGATCCTTATAGATGTAGGAAATTAGACCCTGCCAACACCACACATAGCTGGAGTCACCTGACGACTCTTCCCATTCAAAGATCTCTGATGGATGAAAGAGCATGTACTACAATGGTGAGGTTCACAAGAACAGATAAAGACAGGGGAGCAAGAAAGAAAACAGAAGCAAGTCATACAACGAGGCACTAAATCAGCTACAGGATATGGTGAAAGACTTTGTCCAATGTTTTATTCAGAGCACAGCAAAACACCCCATCCACACAAAGAACAGAGGGCTCGTAGAGTTCACAAGTACATCTAATTTTCTAAGAGTGACAGATCTTACAGATAACTTTTGAAATAATAAATTAAAAAACCCAGAGCACTAGTAAGCACTGCCAGAACAAATGCTATCCAAAGGAGCAGAATCAGTTACAGACTTCTAGGTAGAAACATCTCCAACTGCTCGGTCAGCAGAAACTGAGTGCATCACCACTTGGATGGTATCTCCAAGGAGCACATAGATTCTAGGGGAAATAAGCAGTTGTTTCAGTACAGCATCATGATGAAACAGTATTTTCAGCAAGTCACAAAAAAAGCCTAACTTTCTGCACATACAGTCCTGAATGTGGTACTGCAGTGGTACTTCACCAAGGGTGATAAGAGTCTGCTATCCAAAACTGTCCCTCCAATTTTAAATGCACATGTCACTCTGCACCACTAAAGTGCCATGATGCATCACAACACACAAGGCACAACCTAGCTAAC